GAAGCTATGCTTTAGAGATTTACTAAAGCTCTGTAAAAGACCTGTTCTCTGATGATGGTTTTAGGGACTGTATAAATCAGTGACTAGGGAAGAAAAATGATCAGGATTTGGATGGAATGTGGTTTTATTAACTGTGAGCTGTGGTGGCCTTTGACCTGTCTGAAGTGGCAGAACAGTTACAGGTTTTGTTTTGACCATTTTATGTATGTATAGCCAACAGATGGAACAGAAAAACTAATAGTCAGAGGAACAAACTTAAACAGAAGTAGATTTGGCAGAGGTGAGAGTAAAGTATTTATGAGAAATCATTTCATTTGGTGTGAATGTGAGGCAAAGGCGGGTTTCATATGGGTAAGTTCTCTGTTTAATACAGTCCCACTGCTAGCGCAGCTTGAGCAGGCAGGGCAGCAATGGGAACTGATCATGCATTGAGAGAAAAGTCTATGAAAACACAACAAAAGGGACATCTTTGCTTTGGTGCTGTTTCAGGATGCAAATTTTGCATTGCCCAAGTCAGTTCCCATCCATCTTGAGAGATCTGTGCCTGGAGCTTGCTGACTTTCTGTGGCTGTCTTGCACTGTCAACCTGATCAACAGCATAGGCTTCAATCTGCTTTGCTGCAGATGCTGAAACTAGGCATGGAAGAGGTGTCCCTTGGGTTAGCAATGTTAAGTAGCTGCATACTCAGCTACTCTATGCTGTTAGTTGCATAAAATGTGTATGTATTAGATTTTTTTCATGGCATGATTACAACCTGAGCTAACCTGGCTTGAGAAACTGAAGCAGATAGCTTGAGTCTGCTTTCTGGAAAAACATAGACTAAAGGAGTTGTTTTGGAGAGTGGCCCAGTTGATTTCTTTCCCCTGTTAATTGCGTGTTCTCAGTAGGCACTCATCTATAGCCTGAGATACTATATTCATACCTCATTCATTTGCTTCTCTGAGTAGTCATGATCAGGATACATTCATTCTTGCTGATCCAAGACATTTTGCCTGGAGTCCTAGTAGCTTTTCAGCACATAAGGTTGATGACAGCCAATGTCAATAGTATCTATCCGTATCCATGAGGTACGAGCACTGGTATTGACTACAGCAAACTTCCTGGATATCTGTCAGCTAAGCTGAAACCCTGACTTAGCTATGCATGTAAGTGCTTGCAGTAGAGGAAAGGGAGGGAAGGTGCATCTGGCCTTTAAAAGGGTGGTGTTTCAATAATGTTTATCTTCTAAGTATCTAGAGCGATCAAGTCTGGTAGGGAAAAAAGCTGGTAGATTTACTTCTGCAGTGGTGTGCAATAGTGTCTGCTAGACACTCCTGACTCATCAGGCGTTTCTGATGGCAATCTAGGGCTGATGTAGCAGGCTGTAGACTTTAGCTTACTTTAACTTTTGAACCCAGGGTCAGCAGGATCAGAACCTCAGAGGTGTGTTGCATCAGAATAGGTGCACACAGCTTTTAGCACCACATCTTTGCCAAGGCAATGGCGGGGGCGGGGTGTGTGTGTGGTGTTTGTATGTACGGGTTTGTTAGGCACACATCCCACCCCTCCCCACCCCAGTCCACTGCATCCTTTGACAGCCTGAATGGTTTCTCTTCCTGGTGGTAAGAAGTCACACCACGCTTGTTTATGTAGCACTCACTGCTCCAGTGTGGTTTGCAAACATCACTGATAACTGTGCACATATGTGTATATATATAGGGATTACTTCATCTATCATGCCTCCTGTTGGTTCACCACTATTTTGTCAACTGTGACAACTGTCTGCTAGCACATAACACCACCAAATGGTTTAGGGGTAGAGAAGGAAAGTATGTCCAATTAAAACTATAAGGGAAAATTATCAAAGTAGGAAGTGATTAACCGTGCAGGAGTATCATGAGGGTACGAGGTAATTTTCACTCCAACCATGAGTAACTGGGATTCTTGGGATTTGCTCAATATAAGGGAGTGGAGGAAAGTGAGGAATAGGGGACACTGTTTCTCTTTAAACATAGTCAGTCCCCAACCTTTGCGGAGATGGGGCAAGCAGTAATTCCATGCTACTTGGTTTTGAAAAGGGTTAGTATAGCATGTAAGCTTGACCTCAGCTAATCAAAATACAACTTGCCCAGTTTATACTAGATCTTGAAAACTTCTATGATGCATAGCAGATTCTAGCTTAGCCTGGAAGTACCTGGAGGGGAGGACTCCTTGGTGTTTACATGTATGTGCCTAATGAACTTTTGACAACACAAGCTTATTAAAGTAGGAAAATGAGGAAAATGCTTGTTCCCCGACAAAAGCTGTTTCAAAACTCTTAACTTTATTTGACTGTTCTTTCTTTTTCTAAAGCATTTTAGCAAGTTTCTGTGAGTTTCTGAAACTTAGTAGCTTATAAACTGTATAATCTTTTGTTGTCTCAGTTTCAGAATTAAGAAAACTGTTTGAACCAAACAACCAAGATTTTTTGGAAATGAAAAGGTAAAAAAAAAAAAAGCCTTTAGCCTGTAAAACAAAACACACAGCTTGTTTTGTTACCTCCTCTTAGAAACTCTCACCTCAAATCTTCAAAGATGCCTGATTTCACATTTTTCACATCTTTTTCAGAAAAGAAAGAATAGCTAGACGCTTAGAGGGAATTGAAAATGATACACAACCTATGCTTCTACAAAACTGTCCAGGATCAGTCACACACCGTTTACTAGAGGAAGATACACCAAGATATATGCGTGCAACTGATCCATACAGTCCCCACCTAGGTAAGCAGTGTATATCAGTCAATCTTGCATTGCTGAATTACTTCAAGTTTACTACCCTATCATTTGTGCAGTACATGGAGAAGAGTTTCATAGAAGAGCTGTGAACAGGGTTTTTTTTTAACATGCCTTTTAATTCTTGTTTCCTTATTTGAAAAAGGTTGATGATCCATACTGTTTTAAAACAACAGTAATTTGATAGGAGACTCTTAATATAACTAATACACATTTCTTAACCATTTGTATGTGCTTTTGGAAACATAAAAGCAAAAATGTTATGTGTCTGTGCAGTCACTAGTACACTTTGATTTGTAAGAAAATGGGAAGCTTTTAGTTCACTCGATGTGAATGGTGGGTAGGGTACTCGGAGTTTTGGGATGGACTTGCTCATATATGTTGTACTTTTGACAGGAAGATCAAATGAAGAGGAGGAAACTTCAGATTCTTCTGTAGAAAAACAACCCAGATCATCCAGATACCGAGCAGAAATCACAGGAGGTAATACAGAGTCCTTGTATAGTACAGGAAACATGGATGTCCAGGAACTAGAGTCAAAAGCAGAAAGAATAGCTAGGTACAAGGCAGAGAGGCGGCGTCAACTGGCAGAAAAATACGGATTATCTCTTGATTCTGATTTGGATTCTGACTACTCATCCAGATATACGCGGGCAAGGAAAGATCCTGACAGCGTGGAAAGAAAGGGAGTGAAAAGTGAAAGGAATGATGAAAACAAGGACTGTGGCTCCCTGTATTTGTCCAGGAGTGAGACGAAGGAGTCAAAGAGTGTGTTTTCTGAATCCAAAGAGTACTCCAGCCATGAAAAAGATGGTGTTCCAGATAAAGAAGACCTCTCAAATGAAAAGAGTGATAGAAAAGCAGATGATGACAGTGCCATTAGACAGGCTTCTGACCCTTCAGCAACCTTGGATAGTTCTGTCTCCCTTTCACTTTCTGGACGAGAATCTTCCTCCTGTAACGAAGTGCCAGTATCACCAAAGCAAACCCCCAGAGAGTCCCTTTCTTCACCAAAGCGGGCAGCCTCACCAATCCATTTACAGAATGACCAGCCCTTGCACAGTAACATCAGACAAAGGTAAGAATGATTTTTATTTGTTTGTTTATACAGTAGATTCCTTTATCTTAATCACCTTCTGCAGCAGTGTTACAGTATTTATGAGAATGTATTTGTTACACTTGAAGATGTATTTAGTGGCTTTGGATGTCTCAGGCTGGATTGGTTGGGTTTATTGAATCACTGTGTTTCTGATAGAAGGAAGTGGGTATCTATTTCTATGATTAGATATGTTCTTGGTTTCACTTTATATTTATAGAATTTATGCTAAAATTAGGCACTTCAGGGGGGGAGTGGAGTAACTGATTTTTAAGATATTTACACAGGCTAGAAATTGAAGCAGTTATGGTTCTAAATCTGCTTCCCCCACCCCCACCCCCCAACCTGTTAGAGCAAGCCTTTAACTTTTTTCCTCTATAGCCTGTAGTTGTTTGGGTGGGGGTTGCCAAGTAAAGGCAAGTTGTTTCTCAGTTAAGATTTGAATAGCTTCCTGATGACTTCTGCCAAAATAAAACAGGTCTCTCAGTTAAAAGCTGAAAAGTGTCTTGGGTCAGTTAAAGTAATAGTTGATTTGTTTTCCTGCTGTGAAAGTGTAAAAGCCCTTTTGAACTGTGATAGTTAATCTTTCAGATAATATCAGGGTATGTGTGTGAAGGGGCAGAGGGGAGAGTTAATGCTGGAAAACATAGCCTCCCTCTTGGTATGCTGAATTACTTCAAATTTGACAAATTTACTCCAGTAATAGGGTGACCAGATTATTCCAGAAGGAAAAAAAAATAGTTTTCACTGATTTCAGATTGTAGTTTCACACTGTAGTGCAAAAACAGATGATCAGTGTTATGGTGACTGAAAACAACACGTGACTAAGAATTTTTTTGAAAGTATGATTTTCTCTGTGTGATTCTTTAATTTCTAGGTAGGTGGATAAATGGAAAATAATAACTGTAAAAACTTAAGTTAAAATATTACAGCTAAATATAATGTAAATTGTAATGAGGACTTAACTGTAAACACATCTGCATCATGCTGAGCAGTTCCGATTGTTTCTAAAAAACTGAAATGAACTGGCATAAGCTGAACTGTTTACACTTTCTGGCATTTTTTGCAGTAGGTTCAGAAACAAGCTACCTTACTGGACTTCTTTATCCTCCCCATCAAAATGACAAAACTTGACTCTTACTTGTTGTGGCCTTTCCTATTAACTCATAAACATATCTTAAAGTTTGAATGAGGAAGCAATCTTCCACGTCAAAGGTTAATCACCTGCTGGATTGATTAAGTCATCTATTTACAGTGCCTGTAAACTGCTCAACTTTACTTAGCCTTCTTTTTTGTTTCACTTTATTGCATAGGACACACCAGTAGTAGTCTCTTAACATTTGTTTCATAGCTTTTCATTATTCAGGTGACTTCTAATCCTGCTCACCCTCATTTGCATGGATATGTTGCTATATGTAGCTATATTGGACTCTCCCAATTAAGCCAAAATTTTAAAGGAATATTGTCGTATCAAAAAAGTCATCAAAGGGAAAGTAAGTCCGCATACTTAGGAAATACAATCTTATATTTAGTTTATGTTTAAAACTTACAATTCTCCTATTACAGTAAGGAAAATACTCATCCCAGGGTCATCCATACAACTGAGACCAGAGTTGTATTGAAACTCCTTGAGCTGACTAGGTTATTCCAGGCTCCAAAAACCTTGTTTCTGAAGCAGTCTCAACTCAAAAACTACAAAATATTATCCCTTATCTTCAAATGGTCAATTTGAGATAAATCTCTGGACTAATACAATTACTGATACGAAGGGATATTGGAGCAGCGGACCTTTGGCAGGTTGCTGTCTGTTTTGTAAGGTGAAGGAAGGGATAAAGTTTTCAACCTTAGGAAAGTAAAGAGAATAGGCAATCAAATTTTATAGCCAAGAATCTGTCTGCTGCAGTGTAAAAAGGGGTTTTATTTTCTTTACTCTCATAAAGCAATCCTAGTGCCTGTTTCTGCGAAGGGAAACCAATGAAACGCTGAACAACGAAATGCCTTCTAGGTTGTCTCTTCCCACTCAGAAGCTACACTGAATGCAGCATTGGTGGGATGGTAGTTGCCCTGGTGAAAACAGCATGCTGTCTATAGAGAGACACCTGAATCCACTCACTCACAGATTAGCCTTTAATGTAGTGAAATCAGGTCTCCTTATAAAGCTCTTTCATTTTTAGCTAACAAGTGTGTTTTTTCTAATGCAGCTCTATAAACCAGTTACAAGTTCAGACTGAGCAGGCTGAAGGCATTATCAAGTCGTTCACAAATTCCAGCTGTTTCTTTTTAAAGCTGCCACTTCTGGCATTGCCTGTTTTTTGTAATAAAAGATGCTGCAGAAGTTGGGCAGAAGAGAAATAATTAAGGAAACAGTGTTTTTAATGGGGGCATACTTTTTCATTTGTAAAAGGTTGTATGTCCCTACAAGATCTAATGCTGTGTGAAACACTAAGGGATCAGCTGTGTTTGGCAAGCACTGGAGAAAGGCCCCTTCTGCAAGGTCTTCCTTTGTTTGAGACTTAGTTGTTCTCTGTTTCCAGATAAAGACATGCTAAGATCCATTTTCAGGTGGGTTCTGATGTTAGGACAGTTCCAGAGTTTAAACCCCATCCCATTTGTGGTATGGTCATTTTTACTTCTTTGCTCTGCAGTAGTGCCGTACTAACAAATGAGAGACTGGGGCAAAAGCAGCAGGAATAAGTCATAACTTAATACAAATTGCTGACTGCATTATCACTAATTTCAGATTCTTTCTGGATGAGGCTTGGGACAGTACTTGCGTAAAACAGGTTTCCCACAATTACTGTCTGTCTTATCTTTTGAAGGAAATCATATGCACCCACCAAGATGTGGTGTAGCTCTTGCATAAGCCAAGAGTTTAAATTTAGGATTTGGTCTCTTGTTTGGATACGCATGTAGGCAGTAGGCGGTATTTTAAAAGCCAAGTTGCCAAGATCCCTTTCTGCATTTTAATACCCCTGACAACTTCCAGTGCCAGTGCATACTCATTGGTGTGATATTCAGAGATTTAAGAATAACCTCTCAGAAACTCTTGTCCCTGTTTCTGGGTGGTAAAGAAGTCATTGCCTATTTCCATGCAGTCTGTTTAAAGTTCCTGTGTGGTAGTCTCCTGTAAGGCCATTTGCACAAGCAAAATAAGGGCTAACACTAGCTTTCCAGGTAGCTGCTCTTTTGAAGTCAGTTCCACATTATATAGGTTGCAAATTTTTTTTTGTTAAATTTAAATTTGCTGAGTTCAAATTGGGAAATAAATGCAGCTTGCTTTGGAATACATATGAAAGCTTTGTACCTTCAGGCCTAAGATGGTTTAATAATTAATCCTATTATCCATCACTGAGAAGACAACAAAGTGCTGAGAAGGTACCATTTGACATTGCATTTGGCTGCTTGAAGTGGCTGATTAACTCTAAATTCAAAACATGGCTTGCGTTTTTCTGACTGCTCTCTTCAAAGGAAGAATGGTCAAGTACAAATTGCTGCTTGGGCCATGCCCACTGTAAAAATGTGCCAAAGTACACATTAAGAGAGGAGAAGGAAGTTGCTTGCTTCAAAGCAATTCCAGCTACCTGGTCAGCTCCTGTGAAAGGTTTTTACCCCCTATCTGGGCAGTTCCTTTAGAAATTGAAAAACATTTGGGAAAACAAAAGGTGTTTTAACAGTTGGTGTTTGACTTCATTCTAAGCTTGATTTGGATGACAGCTGTAGGTGAGTTCTCAAATTTAAACTTATTTGCAGTAAATGCATTTTTATCTTGAGAACAGTTGTTGATTTGACCTTTTTCAACTATTTTTATTAAAAGACAAGCTAAGAAAAATTGAAGTAGATGACCTGGAGCTTAATTTGGGATTTTCATCCCAAACAGCTCTACTGCAATGTGAGGAGTTCCTTCAGATGTAGTTATAGGTAATGGAAAGCAGCCTGGCCACTTGTCACCTCTGGAGAGTCTGTTTGTAAATGTTAGTGTGGCCGGACAGTCTGTGCTTGCAAGGTTAAAAGTATTTGATGTGATCTAGTGTTGCTGAGGGACTGGAGATGAAGGTGGGCATTAGGAAAGTATTTGAGAAACTCTACGTAGGTAGTCTGCAGACACCCTTTCTTGTAGGGCTTTTAAAAGTTTGCAGTGCTTTCATTTCTTTTTATGCTTTCAGCTCCAAAATGGAAACAGAATAAAGTCAAGACAAGATCAAATTGGGGGTTACTTTGTTTTTTAAGCTTTTCCTTTCCCCTGTCACCCAGTGACACAGCATGTTTTACTTGAGCTAACTGGGTTTGCATTTCTGAAGCTTTTGTGATACAGGGCTACAAGAGGAGAGAGGGTTGCAACTGCTCCTGAGAATTTCTTAGGAAGTATGATAAAGCCATCTGAATTTCTAACTTCATTAAATTCATGTGACTACTTTGTTTTGGATGCAGACATTTTTACGACTTTAAACCACAGATTAAAGGAACGGTTTTAGCAGCTTTCCCAGGTGTCCTTACGTAAACCCTTCAAACTGACCTGTAGTGGCAAAAATAAGATTGTGTAGTTGCTTTCACTTCTCAAATTCTGGACAATGTACGCTTGGCAAAGTTACCTTTGCAGAATATTTAACATTCAGAACATCTTTTAGATGTTTGTGGAATTAATGATAGCTTGTTTCACAGTTTATCACCTTTCAATTTGATTAATGTGCTGTGCATTTATTTTCATGAGCAGTCCTCTGTAACTGAGTAATTAGAAAACAAAAAAAAGCGTTGGGGAGGGAAGATTGGGAGAAACAATGGGAACATGTGTTGAGATCTCAAAAATTACCTGAAGTTCTGTTTTCTGTAGTAGTGCAGGGAAAGCAAAACCTGAATGGTTTCTTCAGAAAGATTCGGAAGGGGACACACCTTCACTTATCAGCTGGCCCTCCAGGTATCATAAAACATAGCTGTGTGGCTAACACCCAGACTACAAACCTCCCCTTTCTTTCCCTTTACTCTGTCTTCATTTAACACTTGCCTTCAATTTTCCTTTAACAGCAGCAAGTTAGAAATTGTTGTTTCTTGTCGATAAACAGCTGTTGAAACTTTTCTGAAGCATCTGCTTTTATTGTAACTTACGACCAATTGGTGTTTTTGATGAAGAAGTACAAATGCCTCTAGCTTCTTCCACAGCTACTGTCATTCTGGCTTCCACTAATTTTTATAACTTATTTTATCCCACTTTGTACTCTGCAAACCAGCAGATTTTTAGACTACACACCAATCCATCTTAGCATTCCCTACAATTAATTCCTTGAATTCCAAACGAGATGGTACAAGAGATGTAAAAAAATGTATATTGAAAAGTGAAAAGATCTTGATCAGAGCTACAAGCAGCTGCTTTCTCCCAGTTTGGTAACACAGTTTTGGTAACAGCCCACCATGGGAAGCATTGCAGGAAGACTCTTATGATTAAAGTAATTGTTATAACCCAGTACTAATATCAGTGTGGATGTTCTGGAGAATGCTTGGTATATGTAGTTTAAATAATCACTTTTTCAGACTGAACACACTTTCTGTGCTTAAATATCTTTGTGAAGTTTCCCTGATAAGTGCACCAATCCTCAGAGATAAGAAGCACCAAAATGTTAGAAAGGTTGGTGTTTCAGACAGCTTTGGGTATCCTGAATTACTCTCTCAGATACTAATTTGCCTTTTTTTCTAAATCTTGCTTTTTTTTTTAATAATGTAGACTCCAGAAAGTCTGTTGGTAGCAAGCATGGAATTGGACATACTTTGAGCTGGATCACTTACTTTCAAATAAAGAGCTAGTCTTATATTGTACTTGAGTTTCTCTCCTTCCACAGAATTAAAATAATTTTTTATACCCATTTGGGAGGGGAGGAAGTACAGGGCTTTCATTTTTAATACCATCTATATGATATTTACACACACTTGCCCTGTAAGCTGTCCGAACACTTGGCGTGGCTGTAAAACTGCTGGAGAGTTTACCTGCAGTTGTAGTTGTAGAGCAAAGGCTGCCTCCGGCTGCATGTGCTTGCCTTCTGTTGGAGTTGCATTGAGTGTCTAAAGGTAGAATGCGACTGTTTTGCATGGATGTTACACAAGTCTAGAAGTGTTTCTAGAAAATACACTGAAGTAAGGTAACTTTTGGGAACATTCCCGTGAATTTTGCATGTTAGAATGTAATGAAATGTTTTTAAATAGAATGCCTGTTTTGGTTTTGTTTTTTTAAATGCTTTTCTCCCCTGCAAGCCCTCTGAATAGCAACAGCCATGCCATAGTTTCACTTTGGGCTTTAAGGCTTGCACTTCCAACATTTTTTCTCACTTACCGAAACAGGTTACACTACATGTAACATTTTAGATGTCTTAAGTGATACACAAAAGCACAAATAAAAAAGTCTCTGGCAAAACATCTGAAGGGCTAGGTGGAGATAACAATGTGTTTTTTCATTTCTTTCCCCAATGCAACAGCATCTTGATATGATGTAAGCTGCCCAGTGTTTAGACATCTTCAAAAATCTGACTGCATACACGATTGCCAATGGAATTTGCAATTTCAGGCTGAACCCAACACTTTGATAATATAAAAAGCAGTTTTGATCGTCTTGTTTGTTTGAGACTATGGGTATGTGCTGGTTGACAAACGCAGTTGTGACCTCATGGGAACATGCTGTACATTTTCAGAGCTTGCGCAGTTACCTTCTCAGAAGTCATGCATGTTCGAGGGCCTGTGAATCACTTGAATGTTTTTTGACAATGTTACTGCCAAGATTTGGGGCAGGAGGAGGGGAGGAAGGGGTTGCATCATAAGATTGCTTTCTTTTATGTGTTGGTTGTTTTTTATTTTCATACGATGTTGCTGTCTGTACCCACAGTAGGTGTTTGTGTTCCTTCCCAGATTGGGTATTGCTGTTCACAGCTTTAATCCTTTTTCTTTCTTAAAGAGTAAAAGTTAGAGAGAAAATGGTGAAAGAGGAAAGTGCTCGTGGAAGCCCTGAACTTGTCACAGACACAGTATCTCAGAGAAAATCCCATCCACTGCCAGCCCACTACATGCCTCTTCAGACAGAAACCTCTGCCTTTGATAGGGTTATAAATCAGCCCGTCAGTTCAGTCCGCCAACCAATACATGGCTATATTCAGCCTGCTGGCATTGCTCACACAGCTCAGCTGATGGCAACAGAAGAACCAGCAAACATCTCTGTTGGCAGCCTCCTCCTACCAGACAATGTTAGCCTCTTAACAAAATCGTCAGCAGCCGCTGCATCAGAGAGTGAAAAGAAAGAGGCACTTGGTTATGGAGCAAAGCCTGATGAAAAAGATTCCGTGGAGGGTGAACAGGCTTCCAAAGGCAGAAGACCAATTTTGCCATCTGAGATTCGCAAGCAAGGGAAGAACCACGAAGGCCTCTTTGGAGGAGGAGAATTGGATACCCCTGTGGGGAGTTCCTCTTTCGCAAGCAAGCTGAAAGTTAACTCAGAAGTTCAGAGAGAGCTGGAGTGCAATAAAAGGCAGGCTCCTGAGCAGCAGTTTAAGACCCCTGAGAACATAGAAAGGAGTGAAGCGGTTATGTACATACAGAGTGGGTCTGTATCGCAGCCTGCCAAGGCAAAAGCTCCTGTTTGGAAAGTGTCGACAGCAAAGCATAAAGTCCTGACTCGATCAATGTCTGACTATACTGTGGCTCCTAAGCTAGAAGCTTCTAAAAGTAAGGAGAGCATGGAAGCAAATGCACCAAACGGTGAGATTGGCATGGTTGACACAAAAGTCTCTGTTGCCCAGCTCCGTAATGTCTTTCTGGAGAGTGCTAATGCCAACAAGAAAACAGAACTGTAGGTGACATTTCAGACGTATTTTCGTGTGAAACTTGCACGTCCTTGGCAAAAATTACACACACTCAACAGCAGTTGTGTTCGGCACTTAAAGCACACAGCTTAGCTCTCACCAGTGTGTACTCGAGGCTGAGATGGTTTGAATCCTGCTTTTGTGCTTCTGCTTGCTAGTGCAAGTTGTGATGTGGGGTAGCTGGAATGTGTACGTCTGCGCATGTTACCAGAGGAGCATGCAGAGTGATCTCTAGTGAATTGTTGAGATGCTTACATCTGTGCTTTACTTCTCTCTTCTATTTTCTTTTCTATGCGCTTTCTGTCACGTGGTTTAAAAGTGAATCTCGGTTTGAGATGTCAACGGCAGGTAGCACTTTATCTGCCAATGGTGACCGTGAAAGAGGGCCACGAAGGCCGAGGCGCTATTTTTCTCCTGGTGAAAATAGAAAGACTTCTGAGAGATTTAAAACTCAACCTATAACGTCAGCAGAACGAAAGGAGACAGATAGGTAGGCACGTACGTAGCTCTGTGTAGCATTCTGGTGCAGGTAGACATGAACAAGCTTGTGAAGAGACTTTGTTCATTTATTAGCATAAACATTTTGCAAGGTTATTGTTTCTCTTTAAAAACAATCAAGTAGTTGTTATAGCTTCTTATAAAATAAAAACCAAATCACCGCCGACAAAACCAATTCGTTGCAATTTCCCCCCCCACGTAAAATGGTGAACAGTGAATCATCATGAAGTATTATAGCTGTCTGGTTCTGTCTAATGATAAATGCTTTTGTCTGTTTTTATATAAAGAGTTTCCTTTCCATCTACTCTGCTTTATCACTTACTTTTTTTGTAAACAACCAAGGCTACATATTTTATGTTAAAAGAGCTGGCAGCAAATCTTAGACTTTTATCTTCTGCAAGATGAACTGGAAATCATTTTCCTTTACTGTATTTAAGTTTGGCTGCAATTGCTTGCCTTTCTGCTTTATTAAAGGATGTCAAAGTGGAAACTGTTGAAACTTGAAAAATAGATAAAGTTTTCCCACTCTTAAGACTTTTGAGGTCCTGCTACTTCAGATGGAGTTTGAATTTAATTTTTGATGTCTCGTTTCCAACTAACTTCTTTCTGTTTGATAATTTTTCACTAGGTCAATTTTGAGTGCAGAAACGCTAACTGCTGAAGGTATGTTACTATACTATTTCTAAGGAAAAAATGGGAGCAAGTGTGTTTTGTTTTAACTGGAGAACTATTTGATAATGCAAACAAAGTCCGCTTGAAAATAACTATCATTACCTATAATATGTTTGAAGTACCACTTTTCCTTGGGCCACGTCTGCTACAGACTTGATTTCAAATTCATTTAAGTCCAAAAGTCTGTCTATGGATACCAAAATTCATATGGGAGGCAAGGGGCGGAATGGCTCGACTCTTTTCAAAATAGTTTGGGTTTTTTTTTTTCTGATTTAGACAATAAATAAGCTAGTTGATGGAAAAAAAATCCAAATTTTAATCAGAGGTCTAGGACTAATAACTAAAATATAAAATAGCTTTTACTATAGTGCAAAACTGATATTGGTAACGTGGTAACGTGTTTTCTAGCTAAGGGAGCTGCAAGATGCTGGTTATTAAATGATGTAATTCAGTCTGCCATCTTGCTTCTCTTTCCCCCTTGGCACTCTCAGCAAGTCTGGCACAAATTAAGTAGGTAATCTCATGAGTAGCTAAATTTAGATTTAATGCCTTATGCTGTTTGAAAGCTGATATTCTCTGCAGCTTTGTGATGCTGGCTCTTGGATCTGGAGGATGCTGATTTCAGCTCCTAAGGATACCAGTTGAGCCTCTGAAAAATGGGGACACAAGGTGGTAATCAGAATGACCAGCTTCCAGGAGAGACCATCTTGTATGGTCAACTAGTAGAAAATAGATGTTCTATACAGCAGGATGAATACTGACCCTTTAGACAGTCTTTCAGTCTAATTATTTCCTTAGTCCAAGTGTTATCATAGACTAATATAAGAAGTTTGATTATTCATAAAAGGTTGTTTGGATAACTTGAAAACACATCAACTGTCCTGAAGGCAAGTCTTTTGTTCTCAAATCCTGTTAAGAATTTTCCTCTGATGCAATACATGTAAATACAAGTAAAGTTTACACAATTTGTTTCATTTTAAAGTCTTTTGTTAAAAAGGAGTAACAGCCAGCTTATTTGCTGGTAGTGCTTCTTGTCTTAGTAAAACATAATTTTTGAGGAGTTCAGAAATCGTTTAGTCAAAAAAAAAAAAAACCCAAACCAACCCTTGCACTTAATATGAGCTTGATTCATTACATTCAGCCTCCTTTTTTTTTTTCCTTTGTGTAGATGAAGAAAAATTGGATGACCGAGCCAAACTAAGCGTAGCTGCAAAGAGGCTGCTTTTTAGAGTAAGTATTACCTTTTCTTAATAGAGGGCTGAGTCAAACATTTCACATACAAGATGCTGAAGAACAGAAAGTGCATTAGAATGAAGTGTAATGCAGTTAACCAAGTCCAAGCTATATAACTCTTTTTTACTTCACCTCGCCCACCTACACAGTAGACCTATTGCTCTAAAGCCTTCTTTCAGAACATCGTTTAGAGACATGTATAGTTAGTTTTAACTCCATGATGCCTACTGTGCAATTACATCCTGCTTCTAATTCAGAGATGGGCATTTGGGAAATTTGCTACTTTGCATGCAAGAAAGCTAAAAAGAAAGTACTGTTTTAGAACTTTTCTTCCATGGTTTTAATTATGATATATGTCCCCTTAGGAAATGGAAAAATCATTTGAAATGAAAAATATTCCTAAACCACCTACAAGAAGTTCAGCAGTAGAGAGAAGACTGCGGCGTTTGCAGGATAGATCGCACACACAACCAATTACCAGTGAGGAAGTGGTCATTGCAGCTACGTAAGTCTTGTACATATGTTGGCTCTAACTTTGATTCCTGCTTTTAAATCTGGGAATAAGTTCCATATATGTGGTGTTTACAGCGTTGTAGCAAGGAAAACATTTATTGTTAAGGGCTGACTTCCTTGAGAACCGCAGGGGAAACTATATTGAAATTCCTTTTTAGAAGTAGAGGGACTAGTAAAGCATAACTTGTATGAACTGTAATTTGGCAGAAAGCTTATGAACCTGTAGATTAGGTAAACAGGATTAATCATAGCATTGGTTTGTAACTCAAATGAAAAAGATACTTTGCGCTGAGGGAAATCTGCACAATTTCTTATGGAATGTATTTGTATTGGGGAAAACCTTTCACACTCTGAAATCTCAAATGTACTCTTTGGAAATGCATTTCTTGCACTCTGGTCATACATAATGAAACTTTCCTGAAAAAAGGAAAGTCGTTTTGGGGGAAAAATTAAACAAAGGTGAATGGACATTCACCTAATGATCTGCTGAAAGATAGCTGATGTTATGGGAAATAAGTAACTTCAAGAGACAACCTGTTTGCTTCTCTAGTTTTTTAGTTCTTTCAAAGTATTTGAAGTTATTTTGCAAAGGTCGCAGCAGATAACTCAGTTAATTAAAAATCATTGCTGTTTGTTTTTTCTGTTTTGGTTTGGTTTGGTTTTGGTCTTTTCTGTAGTTAACACTTAATGTATTGCTTTTCTTAATGCTTTTTTCTTCTCTCTCCCTGTGAATTTTCCCTCCTTGGCAATTCTTTAAAGTGAATCTACCCCTGCTTCACGTTCTGTGAATACCCACAGAGTAGTGACAAGAGTACCTAGTCCCACTGTAGTTAAGAGCACTGTACAGCCTATCAGGTACTGGGGGGGATAAACATGCATGTTACATGGAGCACAAGATTCCTCAATAGCAGATGCATCTTTAAAGTCTTGAATGCCTTTTCAATGTGTCAAGTCAATACTCGTTTCAAGAATATTTAAAACATTCATCAACTTCATTTATGTTTGCATGATAAAACAATGCAGCTTTTTTTTTTTTGTCAAGCATCTGTTTTCAGGACATTTCTAACCACACTTAACCTGTTCTAGAAGCATATTATCCTTCTTTATGAAAGAAATGAATTTGCATGTAAGCAAACCTAGCAGAACCCTCTTTGCTCTTGCAGTTTTTTGTACGGTAATGTCATCTTGCGATGAAAATACCGAAGCTGGGTGCTTGATTTCACAAGCAGTACATACCCTCTTTGTCTGTCTCTACATACTTTTTTTTTTTTTTAGCTTGCAAAATTAAAGGAAAGATAAGAAATTGCACCACCTATAGGTAAAGTTGCAGAATACTGTTTGCCTGTTCTGAACGAGAGAATTTTAGCAGAGACCATGACAGGAAAAAAAAAAATACTACAACTAATTCTGTAAATGTGGCTGAATCTAGCTAGAGGTGAATAAAATATATTATTGTAGAGACAAATGCAGTTACAGCTTTTATGAATTAATGTGTCTGCCTTCAGCATTGGTCAGTCTTCAAAATTAATGGAGTGTATTTCAAAACTATTCTTTGTCACTGAGTTACCCTAGATAACTCAAAACGAAAGACAGTCTGAATTCTGTTCCACTTCAAATTATAAGAGGCACTATAATTTATGCTAACCTAAAAGCAGCACTAACTTGGAGTTTAAATCCATCTTTTAAATGTTTTTATCATACATGCTCCACAAATTATTTCTAATAAAATTGAATTTTATGTAAATTGCACTGCAGGACCCATGTTTGTTCTACAGCAGGCATCTTAAATGTCTCTCCATAGCTCTGTATTTTGTATAAGGAGATTGGTCTGAAAAGTCTCTCTTCAATCTTGAGTTCCCCTTTTAAAAAATTGTTGTGTCCTAATTAAATGAATTTATGAATGAAAATTTAATTTTTTTTAAATCTTCAGCTGTTGAATTAGAATTCATCATGCCAATGTTGAACCACTGCATAACCACTTAGGCTGCTATATTACATTGGCTATTGTGCTTCATGTGCAGTTCTTCTGCTCCTATCAGGTTGACATTTTAAAACTTCATAATGGCTTCTTCAAAACTCATTTCCAGTTCTGTTTCTTCAGCTTGCAGGCATCAGCACACCAAAAGATTTTAGCTAAAGAGGAGATAAGAGCAGCCAAAGAGGCGATGGGGCAGGATCAGTCTGATGAACCTGATTCTTCCACCTTAAGTTTGGCAGAAAAGATGGCTTTGTTTAACAAACTATCTCAGCCAGTATCCAGGGCCATCTCCACAAGGAGTCGAGGAGATACTAGGCACAGGAGAATGAATGCTCGTTACCAGACTCAGCCAGTCACTCTTGGAGAAGTTGAGCAGGTAAGTGCAATCTTAGCTCTTTTTCATTTGTTTCTTTTTATTGGAGAAAACAGCTTCAGTGTAAGATGCTGTAATAGCTGGCCTTTTCTTTGCTCTGAGCTACACACTGGGGTCCTGACATATTCGCAGGAAAAAGCTTGTCAGGGAGCAGTCTTCTGACATTGAGGAACAACATCCTCTAAAATGTCAACTTCATTGGTGTGTTTTTCTTTTTTAAGTAATTCAAGACTATATCATCTTCCTGATTAGTGCATACTGTACCTTTCATAGTGTCTGTCTTTTCCGGTAGACTTTACATGTCTTCTAAAAGTAAATTCCTGACCAAAGGGGTAAAAGCTGTGACACATATCATCGTGCTTTAGATGTATTTTCAGGGAGTTTTGGAGCTTTGTCATGTGTCATGTGGTTTCAGACTCTTTCCTGAAAGCACTGTGTATTTCCATTATTAGTCAGGACATATTCTGTCATTTTCCTCTGGGAGGGGCATTGATTTTTATTTTTTTCCCTAAAAGCAGAATACTTTTGAAAGTCATGGTCAAAATGAAATTATTTAATATGTGCAGCAGAATTGGGCTTCCTGTTCTGGAATCCTTCATATAATTGGAACTGCAAAGGAATGCCTTTTTAGTGAAGTTTGAGCATAAGATGGCCCAGCAGTGGTCTTTCAGAGGTGATGTTCACAACAGCAGAAACATCAGTCCTTTCGTATTACAGCTTTAAAAGAAGTCACTTTAACAGTGAAGCACAAACTCCTATGCATGTCATATTTCTAGGGAATCGGTGTTAGAAAGTTCCTACCCTTCTCTTTCTATACGCTTCGTTCACGATTATACATTTTCCATATTATAATAATAGAATAGTGAGAAGGCAGGATTCCTCTATGTTGGTGCAAAGCTGTACAGATACATAATTGTACTTTATGCCTACTTTACTTAGGCATGAAGTAGTAGTAAATATTTGGCAAATGTATTTTAGCAAGATTTCCAGCCCTTACATATTCCTCTTTCCATTCATTTTCCACATGCCAACCACTGTCACAACCTGGACTTTTTAACGATTGTGTCACTAACTTGTTTGGGGCCAGGAAGGTGATCAACAGAAATGGGCTGAAGCAGATGGGAAAGAAGCCAGTGCCAGTCACATTAGTTTGTCAGACTTTTACAGAGCAAATTTTCTCTTCAAGCAAAGAAACGCAGAGGAAGCATGTTTTGCCAGCTCTTTCTGAACCTAGCAAAAGAAACCAAAGCTGAGTCTGAACCAAGTTCAATGGGAGTGTATTTTCAAAAAGACTTTCTCAGTGAACTGTTCATTTGGAGTGTTGGGATGTTTTGAGATGCAGTTATTTTTTCTAGGAAGAAACAAAAGAAAGGTATCAAAATAGATAACTAGAGGTTACATTACCAAAATACATACTTGCAAATGTAAATATCTTATAATTAAAGCTGAAATCCCTTTGCTGATCTCCTCTAAATTTCTAATTCTGATAGATGCAATGGAAAAAGAATAAACGGGTAACTATTTTCTTAATCTTTCCTTTGAATCTTTGAGCTAGCGAAGTAGTCTTTGCTCTGCTTTCTGATTTGTTTAATGAACGACTGTGTTGTCCATGCTTTATGGAATTTGCATGTGCATTTTAAGTTTTCAGTTGATTTCCTCCTACTGGTGTGATTTTGCCTATTCCTTTTGCATGCTGTTAACTAACCCTGCAGTTTAAGAAAACAACAAAAAAAGCAAAACAAAAAACCTCTCCTGATGTGTATGAAGGCATGTTTGTCAGTCTCTTTCATAGCTCTCCTTTGGGGAAGACAAAGCCAAGCTCTGCATTTCAGAAAAATTTTGCATCTTCACTGTCTCTAGGAAAACTTCTGTAAAATTATTATGTCAGAAGAGTAGAAAAGGTAATTGTTCCACTGTAGAGGCTGGCAAAGCAAATTTGGAGTTGTTTTTAATATGCTTCTTAGATTCAAATACTTTGCTCAGAGATGTACATGACAGCCAATGTTTGATATTTGAAAAAGTCTTAGACTAACAGTCCTGCATGAAGGTGATATATGTGGCAGAAGCATCAGGAGTGTCTGCCCTATGGAGGACAGCACGGAGCAGAGTCTCTCTCTGGCGATGAGCTAGCTCCAGAGCTGGAACCTATATAACCATATCAGAGCAGAGCTGTGCCAAAGCTAATTAGCCCTGCTGAGATGCAGAGTTGATTAGCCTGGGCACATGGCATGTCATCCGGTGTCTGGAACCTGAGCTAATTTCTTTTCCCAGTGCTGCACTGGGGAAGTGTCAGTATGAAACTTTTCATGGAGCCCTGACACAACATCGTGTTGCATGCTACACGTAAACCCTTTGTTACTAACGATGTTGTTGTTCACATGCAGTCGTTTCTTCCCAGGGTGGAATAATCCATCTGCAACCAAATTATGGAGACATTGTTGTTCTCCTTATGTTTCTAGTCTATATTTATGGGGGACTATATTCATGTGGAAGCACACCTCTGAAGAACTGACATGATTAGACTGTTTTCAGGAATTGGTGATTTCAGAGCTTTGAAGACCTTTTTTTTTTTTTTTTTTCCCATAGGTACAAAATGAAAGTGGAAAAATTACTCCCCTGTCAACTGCAGTTGCAACATCAGTTTCAACGATGGCATCTGCCCTTTCTCCACTGTATGCTGGAGACCTGCATGCGAAGCCAGCTAGTGATGGAAGCATGAGCACTGCTGCTAGAGCTGATTTGAGATTCCACTCTTCAGCAGAAAACACAGACTCTTCAGGAAAACGCATGCAGAAGTCAGAACAGTGGCAGCCCTCAATGGAAGCACTAGAAAGCAACAGAGCATCAAAGAAGCATGAAGAAGAGAGAAAGAGGTTTCCAGCACATGAAGCTAATGAAATTACAAAGTACAGCTCCTTTGAGGAAGAAACCACACATCCTGTTCCTGAAAAAACAGGAGACTACCATAAAGATACAACACTCAGCTTCCTGAGGAAGGGCAGCATGGAACTGTTTAGTTCACAAGCACTTTTTCAGCCTCTTGAACAGAAGGAAATCGATACTCGCATGCAAGGTAAATGGGAAGTCAAAGAAGGCCAGTCATTTGAAGAAAAGATGGATTTGGAAAGTGTTATGAAAAGCAAGACTTTGCAAAGAGGTGCAGTATATACTTGCTTTTGGTGTAGTGTCATTCAGCAAACTTATGGTGTTTCTCTAGTTTTAGACATCTTCATTTCAAGCATTATCAAGGCTGGTTATTTTTTCCTTTTTTTAACACTGCTTAAAGGTAGAGAAATACCTGTGAAATCTTAAGTTTTACAAATACAGTTTTCTCTTTGTTATTCTTTCAATTCTTCAGCCTTTAAAGATAGCTCAATTTTATTCAGATTTTCTTACTTAGAAAGAAGTGGTATTTTATGCTGAAGCTAAGATTTATCCTTTCCTCTTTTGCCCTTGCCCCTGCCCTCCAAAATGCTGAACAAGCTAAACTTAACAGCCCTGGGTCAAGTGTCTGCTCTTAATTGTTGCCTTCTTGTGCATATATAGTTATGTATTAACTACATATGTACATATATAGCTCGTAGTGGGTAATTTTCAGATAACTAATTTTGCAAAACTACTATTATTTTCTCTTCAATGTGGTAATGAAATACAAACCAAGTAATTCTCAGAGCAACTACATTTCTATATGCAAAGCATAATTCAAACTTAATGAGTAAACTCACCCATCTTTAAATAAAGTGCTTTGGAAATAATCAGTCCATTTGGTCGTTGCATAAAGCCTTCTATTCTGTTGAATTTAGAAGGATGTTGTATTAGTTTTCTGTTTTATTATGATGGGGTACAGGACCACAGTACCCTGTAGTGCTAGAAGCACTTTTGTCTTCATCCTGTGAAGTTAATTTATTTTTAATTTAATGGTCTTTGAACAGGCACAGGGAGGAAGGTATAGTTCTGCCTGTATTCCTCAAAAGCAGTGCCCATTCTATCCAATTAGCTTCTGATGACTGCAGGGGAGACAGAGACTGGGATAAAACAAGAGCAGTTGTGTATCAGAGGGGTGTTGTGCTTGTAAAATTTCAAAAAGAAAAATGAAGATCACTTATATTTCCTTAAAGATAACTGTAACAGTGCATTTATCTTTCATCAAGGCAGTTTTTCGTGTGGTTTAATTGCTGCTTGAAAAAACAAAACCAAAAAAACCCCAACACCCTCCTAGAAAATACCTTTATTAAGCTATTAACTGCCCTACTAGTATGCTACTTATGCATTAAACAGCTTTACCACTAAGTTAATTTCTTATTTAAATTTTGTCTGCTTCTCTTCCCTTACTCTTTGTTCCCCTCTCATCTGTCCATTTGTTTTCCTGTTGGTGTGATGACAGGAACAGCAGTTTGTGCCTCATCCATATGAAGTTCAGAATTGTGCATTGAACATGATATTCTGTAGCTTCATGCGAACTTCAGTCACAAATGCCCAGTCTATGCAGCAGATAATATTGCACAATTAATCTTTGTACTCTAGCTCAGCAGAAATTTTTTCTCTGATAGGATAGCATGTGATTTGTATGTTAAAAACCAGATTTGCTGCTTCAGTGTTAGTAGTGTAAAATATGTTTGAGAATAACGCTAACTCTAATTCAGCACTTCTCTTTTGAATGGGCAGACCACGCTGAACCTACTTCTGAACTCACCAGCACATCAGCAATGAGGACAGTTTCACAAACTGCAGCTGTGGCATCCTATAGACTGCAGGAGCTCTCCGAACAATTGGAAGGCAAACTTAATAAGAATTCCTGTGAGATGTTTTCCGTTGGAGAGAACAAAGCACAGACAACTGAGGATGTCCTCGATAATTCCAGCAAAACTATGTCAATTAAGGAAAGGTACTTAAATTTCACTTTCTTTTAAATGATCTCTATAAATACAGTTATTAGACTGATGGTATAAAAAGAAGCTTTAAACCTGTTTCTGCAAAAGCTAAGCAGTGATTATTAGGCTTTATTAGATGTCAAATGCTAACAGCAGAAACATGCAGCTAATCTGCCTGACATGCTTATAAGGCAGATGGTGGTGACTGAGAATTACTGTTCAAGAGAACGTGATAATCTGATTTTGAAAGAGCCACCTGAGTAATCAGTAAGTAGTTCAGAAAATGAAAGTTGTAAAAATACATGTTCTAGTTACATTTATACTGATATACTCAATATACTTCCCCAGGTTCTGCTTTCAATTTTAACAGGTATAATGGGATTTTTTTTTTTAATAGCTGGTTTTTTGTTGGTCTATGGGAGTAGTCTCTTTTAAATAAGCTGACTACAGGGAGTCAGGGATAGAGTCTGTGATGTTTCCCTCTTTACTTCAGAAATACATGGTTGCCATTATGACTTCTGAGAACTTACTGTAGGGATTTTAAAAGGGTAATAAGTTGGACAGGTTTGTGGGAGTATTAGAAATATTTTTTCCAACCCAAGATCATTCTGATCTGCAACAACAGGTTAAGTGTTCCACACTTGTGCAAACAGTAGGAATTCATGGGTAGAGCACCAATAGCTGCTGTAGTACTTGTGAAAGTAATTATAATTTGAGTTTATACTCTCAAAGTTTTAACTAGCCCCAAACTGTAGTAAGGATCTGGTAGCAGTCCAGTGAGTAAAATTATGATTTGCTCTGGGTTGTGAAAGCAGAACCAATAAATAAAAGTAGCTGCTTGATTAAACTTTCACTGTGTAAAAGTATTCCCGCACTTCATGAGTTGAGTGTGATATTAGGAACTCCATGGGGTGGTTTTTTTTTAAACATGATTCCAAAGCTTACTTCTTAAGTTCATGTATTTCTAGGATGTGTGTGTGTCATCCTCATTTATAGAGCATCCCCACTCCCTCTTATCCCGTTAACGTAAAGAGGGGGTGCAGGGGCAGCTACAACAGCTGTGCAGTCTTATCCCCCTTCTGAAGGATTTAGTTACCTTTTCCAGTTTGCTGCTGCTGTTTTGTTTAAAGCAACATTCATCCCTCCTGTCCCCCTTCTGTGAATATTTCAACTGTCTGGGCAGATAAGGTTTAAGACCAGTAACTTCTGGTTTATAGGTGATAAATGATTTGCCTTTGCTGATACTGGTGGGGAAAAAGAGGTTGGAGGGAAGGAAAACTCCAAGTATTAGCAGCTGTTTCAGTCCTAAATTTAATGCTTCAGTTGAGTTGGTATCTTGAGGAATTGATGTTAAAGACTGTCAGTCACACTCACAATCTCGAATCACTTCCATTAGGCCTTCAACACTGTCTAGTCAGTCCCAAAGCTGACAAAAGAAAATACCTGCCATCTTGTCAGGAATTTGTATATTCTGATTCCACAAACGTCTGTAAATGGCAGAGCTGGTATCAAAATGTTTTAGCCTTCCAAAATACCACAGTAGTCTACTTCTTGTCCCAGAATTAAAAAACTACAACCAGTCATTTTCTTTTGCTTGGCTATAGCTGATGCCAAGTATTCATAAACCTCAAAGAACATTTCTACTAAAGATTAACTATTACACTTTGGAATTTTTTTTTCCTTTTACTTTCACTAACTTCATCTTCCCATCCAGTGGATTTTTCTGGCTGTCTCAGACATTCTTTCACCTTATGGAAGAACAGCTTTTCCACAGATGTAATGATATTTGGGCAGGATGCACGCATGCTGGTCTGGATGAAAGTGATTTTCCACAAAAACTTACTTCACTGAACTAATATTATCCTTGTGGAGTGAGTGCATACCTGGCATTTTCAGAATTACCTGTATTATGTGGAAGAATGAAAATCATGATTTTTCAAGGAAGAAAAGACACCTATCCTCTCTTCTTCTGCAAGCACGCAGCTTGGAGGTGAGAGGGAGCAAAGGCTCATATCTTTGAGTAGTTTTGGCTGTGTTTTGTTTTAGGCAGCCAGGGCCAATCCACTGATGTGTTATATATGAGTCGTGGAAACTTTTGTTTAATTGTGTTGCCTTCAGGAAGATGAATGTCTTGGAGGACTTTGAATGGAGCGTCAGTTGCGTGTAACTACCTGTCTTTGTGCATTTATGGAGACCAGAGTTGCTAGAAGGCCACCCTGTCAGCTCCACTTTAGAAGTCAGCTGCATGCCATGATCACCATTTAAAAAAAGCTACAGATAACTAATTTCTGGTGGACCTCTTGCCATTCCTCATTCATTCTCAGGAAGAGCCCAGACTAAACTTAATTTTCAACCTTTTTTGCTGTGTGGATGCCGGAACAAGACTTTCTTATGCAGAATGGTCCACATGATAGTGAATTTATGCACCTTTAACAGTCAGCTTTCATTTTATAGTTACTTATCTCGTATCTGCCTCCAGGATTTATGATTTAGCTGAAAAGAACTGGTCAAGTGCAGCCAGTGGAGTACATGTGAAAGCCAAACCTGTGTCCAGTTTAATCTTTCTCAAGGATAACACTAGTAGCTAAAATACTAAAATATTGCCACAGAAGAAAGATGTTTCATTTTTGACATTTTTTGCCAGGACTGCTGCCAAGGACTTTCATGCAAAGCTCCTTGTTTAGGCAAAACGATTGTTCAAATCTTGTTTCTTCAGTATTAGTCTTGTATTAATCTTGTTTCTCAGTGTTAATCTTGTTTCTTCAGTATTAATCCAACATTTTGCCTTCAGCTGTGAAAGCTTTTGCTCTGAACCCATCCTGACACCTCTGGGGTGATGGTCATTCTATCTTGATGGCAGATGTTCTATCTCAGTAGCAGGTGAAAGAAGGATGCAGAGCAATCAGTCAAAGATGGGCAGATATATAAACAGTTTTTTTCTTTCAAGAAGAGTAAAACTCATTTTTTTCAGATTGCAAAAAGGAACTTTTGGAGGCAAAAGCAGTATGAATAGAACTGTGGAAGTGAATAATGAATGATTATTCATTATTTATCAAAAGTGGAAAACTAGAGTTATGCAATGAAACTAGTAGACAGGCAGGCCTTAAATAAATCCAAGTGTTAGACCCAATAATTGCCTTATTTTTGCAGACTTTCCAATGAATCAAGTGCTGTCTACTTTGAGTTAAGCTACTGAGCTGGTGGGCTTGCTTGTGTGGACCAATTCAATAGTTCTTGCATCTTGATTCCTACGAAAGGGTGCCCTCCAACTGTTGCTGAGTCAGGGCAGTCTGAATTTATTGCTGTTTCCATTGTTCAAAACAAATGCATGGCTTTAGGTTTTACACAGCAGTGAAGTCTTCAGTGGCATACTGGGCATATGTATTTCTTCAAGCGGTGATTTCATTGCTCAAAACAGACAAATGTGTGTTCTCACTCTAGGAATGAGTTGTTTCATTACATATTACAAGTGAAGAGTGGAGGGCTAGTATGAATCCATCCATATGACAGAGGAGAAAACAAAGTCTTCAGAAACACAGCAGCATTCTTAGGATTAGAGATTTTCTCTTCCTGATCAACCAAGCTGTTTGGGGCAAAGGTCTAGGGCAAAAACCCTGCAGTAATGTCAAGTTAAAAAAAAAATAATAATAATTTTTTTTTCTGCCTGCTATGCTGAGCAGCTGTAGACATTTTTAAAAATGAACTCATCTTAGGCCAAAGCTGACCAAAGTGCCTTCCAGCTTCAATTATCGCAGATCATTTCTAAGCAAAGCTGACCTGAGAGAACATAATTACTGAAGATAATTCAACTGCATAGTGGCAATTCAGTCCCATCTTGGTCTCCTCCACAGTTTCACGCATGCATGGATGCACTCCAGAAGAATAGTTCTGGGCAGTGAAATCTTGTATACGTTCTGGAAACAATGACCATGGCCTCAACTCCTTATTGTGAGTCCTTCTCACCCCTACTCATCCTGTGCTGTGAGGTATGAAGCAACCAGGCAATGTGAAGCCTGCCAGCGCTGCCTGTCTGGGCAGGAAGAGAGGAAATAACTGCTTTCTTGAATACTAACCTTCTTACTGCCATTGCATTCTGTGGATTTACTGTTTTCTGCATTCTCAGTTTGTCTCAAATGACTGCCTTAGGACCAACTGGTCATCCTTGAATAGGTCACTAAGATGGTTGCACCCCCTCAATTTTTGCAGGAAGCAGCTGCCTGAAACTTGGCTTCTGGCTAGACTTATTTAGTCCTACTCCTTCCTTCTCAGAGTTTCAGGACAAGACTTACTGTGAGGGTAACAGTAATTGCATCTCTAAAAAGGAATCTCTGTATCTTGTGGTCAAAATAGGTTGCCAACACTTTAACTACTGAAACTGTTCAAGTACTAATAGGGTTAAGGGTTTTGTATAATCCTTACTGAAATGCCCTAGATTAAGGAAAGTTATGAAGTAAAACTTAATTCAACTAAAATAAAAATTATTTAGTGGAGTGATGCAACTGTTTGCATGAGTACTGTAGATACACATTTTATGAAGTACTAAGAATGATTTCTGAAAGCTAGAAAATTCCTACAAGTATTAATTTCTGAGGAAGGTAAGCTGAAGATCATGCCTGTGTAGACCCCTTATTCCTAATTGACTTCCCCTACCCCCAAAACTAATCACCTCGGGGTCTGTATGGACAAATAGATTCTAATTCTAGCAAAATAAATCTACATGCTGTCCCCACCAGAGCCAGTCAGTGTCCCTTTGCGCTATATTCAGAATTTTGCTCAAGATTAGGAAATAGCACTTTTAAAAGATCCTACTTACATGAGATTAAGGGTAATTCACATTTGAAATAGAAGACATCCTTTAAATCAGTTGAATCTTGCAGATAGATTTCACAGCTGTATTATAGTTAGCACCAAGTTACTACTGCATTGGTACTACTGATTTTTGTCACAGCAATGTCTGAGCTTAGCAAGAAGATATTAAGTGATCCCTAGGAGTCTGACAGTAACTTCAGTCACTGGAGTTGTAATGAAAACACTAACTGTAGAGTTGTCATTTGATGTGCCTGATGGACCTAATTGGTGGGTGCCTGCTGAATAGACCCCTTTCTTCTTGGGTTTTAAAGAAAATAATTTTTTAAACCTTTTTTTAATAAGTACAGTAAAGACCAAAGGTAGGATTCATCTTACTGACTTTGGACATCTACAACATAGGCATCCATTAGCTGAGCTGGTCACTCTCTGTGCCTTATCAACAGAAGGGAGGGGGGAAAAAAGCAGTGATTAATCTAAGCTATTTATATGTCTACTTTAGGATGATCTGCGTTGTACCTTGGTCTCCCTTGACTGCATTGGCAATTTCCACTGACTACACAAATTAACTGGGGGGTGCCTGTCTCAGATCTAGATGTCTGTGTTTTGACAGATGATTCCCATTCAACATGTTCAGTAAAGGCTTGGTGTTCATTTGTGAGCTTTGTATATACATATGAAAGGTAAATAACTATAGTTAATGTTAGAAAACTTAATTTCAAATTCTCTCGAATGCAGCGTTAGTGAAACAATAAGGGTAGCTTTTGAGGATAACGGGAAGTACAGTGTTTAAAGCTACCTGTTGGCATGTTTTTTCTTCTAGGTTGGCATTGCTGAAGAAGAGTGGTGAAGAAGATTGGAAGAGCAGGCTCAGCAAAAAGCAGGAGTATGCAAAAGTGTCTGTCACTGACCGTAGCGCGCAGATGCAAGAAGTTGAGCAGCTGTTAAAGAAGGTAACTCTATCCTTGTTTGGAAAAAACATCTTGCTTGAAATGCTTCAGCTTTTTGAAGGTGCATCCGACTAGACAGGCATGCCTAATATTAGCTACTAGCTCCCACTATTCTGCTTGTTGTCAGGCTTGTTTAAAGAACAATTCTCCCAACATGAGAGCTCTTTAAATGAGAATGTCTTCACTGTCTTGGGACATATAATATTGGTTACAGTGTCTTTACATCAGCAGATTATGAACCAGTAAGTGGGCCTGTAAGGCTTCTGGCCCATTTACAGGTATAATGATTTAAGCCTTTCTTCCTGCCAATGAAATGCTTAAGACTTTAAGTTCAGATGTTTTCCTTAATATGGGTGAGCTTGTAAAATTTTCAGATTCCTAAAGTGTATTGTCTCTGTGCATGTAGTGGATTTTTAGCAGTGATTTTAGATCCTAGAAACACTGAGGAAATGCAGGTACCAGAGCATTCATGAGCAATTTGGCTTTTGGTTATCTTGCATGATCTTTGGTGTCTGCGGATAGCCAAAACCATCTGTCTCATCAGTGTTAGTGAATAGAGTGGGAGATGGGTAGAAAGGTGTAGAGGAAAGGGAAGTTCACATCATTAGCACATTCTGGCTATGCCTATACATGAGTAAGTTATGTTGCCCAGCAGGAGTGGATCTGTAAAGCAGAATGATTACTGATGAGGACCTGCTATCCATGCCGTACTTACTTGTTTTGTTTCAATGAAGTTTTGCTTCAGGCTAAATTTAGTCTGCTCCTGTGGCCTGGCTGCCCTTAGCAGCACTGGTGTTACATGGGAATCCCGGAGTGCGCTTCAAGGCTTAGTTTCATCCAAAAGTCTGTGCATTCTGCACTGTGAACCAAACCACAGAAGGTGAGGGTGACTGGGAGATTTGCTTCAAAATGGACTGCTGGTTCAAACTACAGGACTAATTTACACTTGCTTCCCTTCTGAGTCTACTATTTTGAAAATGACGGTGTCAGATAAAATAGGTTGTTTCAAAAGCCCTTAATTTTTGAAGGAGTATTTTCACAGAGGACAAGTGAAGATAAAATTTGTGTTATAAATTTACTTGTGGGACAGTAATCTTTGGATCCAATTATTTAATTGTGAAAACGCTGATTCTATTAAATAGTATAGGCAAACAATAACAAAAAGTCTCCTGTTCCATCAGTGTATTACAAGTAAGGAGTTGTTACACAGTCTGTCATTATTGAGGATAAACCTGTGCCAAAACATGTGACTCATCAACAGTTGTGTATTAACTGGACAGAAAAACAAGCAAGCTGATTTTTGCAGTTTGGTTTATGGGTTTTGTTCCAGTTTTGCCCTGTGGACTTGCTCAAAAATCCAGTTGCTAGTTTGAAAGATCTCCTAAAGCAAAAGTAGTTTCAGCGAGGAAAGCAAAACTGCGGTCACATTTTTAACAGGCTAGTCTCCAAAATGACAACTGTTGAGATCAGATAACAAATGTACTCCAACTAAAGACAATGGGGTTGAGAAAAAGCTTTAAGCAGCTGCCAAGATTTAGGCAGAGACGAAACCTTTGTTCTCTCTTCTCGCTCCCCAGCACCCATATCCTCCCTGCTGTGTTACCATGTGCAGCAACTTCACTCAGCACAGCACAAGTTAGGCTTTTAAAGCAAGTAAGTGAGCATGAAGTGCTTGAAGGGTACAAGCTTTGAAGTGACAATGCTAGCAGTGGGAGTTTCTGTGACACTGGGTCGCCCACTTCGTTGGTTCATGTTAGCTCTTGGCTATTTAGAGCCTAAATCAAAGGATTTGCATGTCTGCCAATGGGTAAAATCTTGGATGTATAAGAAAAAATGTTATCTTATTAGATACACAACTCCCTGAACTGTATTGATATTGTGATGCTGATTCATTATGTGATACATGATAAATAATGTAAAGCTTCACTAAGTTGACCACACTGCTTGCAACACACCATGTCAGCTGCCCTTACATCTGGAAATACTATTATTGATAATTAACCAATGTGATGGCTATTATCCTTTGAGGACCATGAAGCAGTGTGCCACTGAAGTCTCTATTTGTAGAACAGCTTTGAGACTACGATGTACGTAAAAATCTTGGTGCTTTCTGTTGCTGGACTGCAATAAAAATGCAGGAATTGTATTGATTACTGTGTTTTGAGCTAGTTAAAATACAATTTCCACCATGGCAGTCATGCATCAACAGCAAGGGTGTGTAAACTTCTGTCATGCCCTGCTGGTTCAAAATAAAGTCTGAAGATTTTAGTTGCAGTATGTCACTTCTGTTAATGTAGTCAGACACCTTTTTAGGTTTTCTTTTGTGTGTGTGTGTGTCTCCCTCTTAAAAGGTTATCTAACTTGTTCTGGAGATTTGATTATTGAAGCATAGCTGTATAAAACAGAAGTTACTAGAGTACATTTAGATTTCTTATAAACAACAAAAGTTGAAAGACTCATACTCTTAATAAAATAGTTACATTAAATAGTGCTTTTTGATCACTTCTAGTCAAAATGCTTCTGCACAGTTGTATCCATGGTGAGATATTTCTCCAAATGTGTTATAGTCATTTATATGTAGGCTAAACTGTAGAAAAACAGTAAAATTCATGGAAAAGCTGACAGAGCAACCTCAAGTAGGGGGGAAAAAGGGACTAAGGAATTAACTGAGGGAGATACAGATGAGGGGGGAAGTTGAGATTTACTTAGAGGTCCGGCATCTGTTTTGATGATTGCTGCACATAAGGGGGAAATTTGTTGGAAGCTGTGAGACTTCTTAAATTATTTATATGTACAGTAAAACATACTTGGACAATTCAAAGAATAGCTCTAACATCAAGGGAACAACTGTACACTAAGGAATGTCTTACTGGAAAAAAATCCATTTTATTTGGGAAAAATATTTTGGATTTGGTATATTTGTATTCATCATCTTAGGTTGGATGGAAGACTTCCAGTTGGTTGAGTTTTTTCATGGGTAGAAAAATTAACTAACTTTAAAATCTTCCCTTAGTATCAAAATAGCAAGATTTACTGGAATGAAAATTCCTATTTTGTAGTCAGCCATTTTTAAGAGTCCCTGATTAATGTGATTACCAGCTGCATTGCAGTCGCATTAAAGCAGTGAATGACATTTGAAATGCACTTAATTCTTATAGCAAGTTCAAATTGCAGCTCAGCGCTGGTGTTGAAGGCTAGGGCTGAACAGTCAATTCAAAATTACTCAGAGATGAAGTGTATAAAAATCTTAAAGGGGGTAAGCCCTTAAAAAGTGGCCTTTAGGCAAAATATTAGTCTCTTGCTGTGGTAATAGTTTTATCCATTTCATAAATGGCATCCACCAAGTGCTCGTATCCAGTTCTAATCAAAGCTGAAACTCTAATGATTATGCTTCTTTTTGAGCCACTCTAATGAGCTGCATTTACCCATATTGTGTGCGATGTTCCACATTTGCTTTAACTGATAGAAAGGAAGAGGAATTATGGATGATAAAGCCATGTCTAATCAGCTTTGGGTAAGCCCAGCTCTGAGGCAGGGGTTATTTGTAGGCTTTGTTTAGAATGGTGAACTCACCTTCGCTGAGTGCTCTGGGCTTAGCAATTCACTCCAGATAGCTTTTGAGTATCCCAGTTTTAGTAAGCATTTCTTTCCTTTCATCCAGAAAATAGATGGCTTGTTATTTAGCAGGGTCTGATTAAATTTGCAGCAGAATTATTCACATTGTGGTTGACATGGTTCATCAATTTAATGGTGCATGAAAACAGAGACATAAAAATTATCAGCATATGAAAAGTGTATCTTTTGGCTGTGTTGTTTCGTTTCGTGTTGAGTTGCAGTGATATTGTTCCTAACTTGTTTAATTCCTGCATGGAATGGCTTTGGTAAACATGCTGTTGTATTATGACAACATTTTTGACCTCTGGCTTTCCAACAGGCAAAACATTTCTAGAAGATTAAAAGATTCAGATGTACTTCATTTTAAGAAATTAGGAGAAGATGAGTTACTCCCCCCCAGTCTCCATTTCTGATAGTCCAGTTCTTTTCTAATTCCTTTGCTTTGCTTCTGTCCTTGTCATAGGAACCTGTATATGCTTCTACTTACTCTCCCGTTATACCTGCTCTCCATAAATTTCATCCTTTTCTACCTATTAATCAGGTGAGCAAAAGTCTGCACAATTTAAATGCTCAACAATTTCAAGTAAGCACATTTTGACAGTTGTGGGATTTTTTTTTTTTTTTTTACATAGGAAATTAGTAATCCTCTTAACTGATTAACCAGCTTAGTAAATGCTGCTTTAAAGAAACATAGTATTATGCCACTATGCTGTGTACTCTTCTTCAGTATGCATTGTTAGTGTTTCTCTTATGGTTGCTTTTCTAAAGATTCTGTATCTGTTAGACTATATAGGTGAGAAAGTAAATGAAGGAGACATTATTGCATTCATTATATTGCATTCATTATAACACTGAATACTTGGAAGCTGTTAAAAAAGGTATATAAAAGGAGCAATATGTAACTGCACGGCATTTATTTTAGAATAAAATGCTGCATACCCTGATTTCTCTGTAAGTGATGCGCATATACAATGTAAGACATAAAATCATGTAATTTATTGACTATAAAAAACAAGCTGCTTTTGTTCAGAGGTGACTTTCCTATAGTGCTTTTCCCTAGTCCCTGTTTAAAGGATTTTTGCCTTGGCACATCCTGCTTCTATTCTCTGACTGTCCCATCTTCCTGCTTCTCTCTCTCTTTCTTCCTTTAAGGTCTGTAGTACTAGTTTGAAAGAATCAAGCTCTCTGATTTCTGATGAACGTCATCCTTGGAGATGGAAGGTGAAATGCTGTATAAACTTCCTACTTAATTATTGGAGGGAGGAGTAAGACAGAAAATTACATTCAGATCTATGATGCACATTCCCAAAGCAACTTGTGGCAACAGAGATAACTTTGTGTTTGCTTGGGAATAGAGTTCTGCTGCTGTTCCAGTAAATGTTAGAGAA